GGTGAGACGAAAAACGGAATCCGAAAAATGAGGGCGAGAACGCGGCGGGATCCGAAAACGCGGTCGAAATCGAAGACGAGGGCTTTTGTTTTTTTTTGGTTTTTTTCCCGATCCGGCAGCTTTTCGCGCGAGAACGGCGCAGGCCCGAGACGCGAAAAGCGCGCACAGCGGCCTCTCGCGGATCCGCGAAAAAAAAAAAAAACGCTCAAATACGTACCTCCCAGGACGTAAATCGCGGTCCGCAGAAACGTCCACGGGGCTACGTTTCCACAATGAGCCCGGGTTGAATAAAACCTTAGTTTACACTTCTCATGGTGACACGCAGGGGGAGTTCTCGTGACCTACCTGACCTCGAATTCCCCTCTCGCCCTCCTAACGGGAGGGAGCCCCGGGCTCGAGGATATTACGAGCTCAGGGCTCTCTCCCGGGACAGCATGCCAAATACACTTTATTGATTATCAGCTAAGTGTGAACTCTTGAAACGTATTTAAGACCCACAACAGCATATTTGAGTGAATTTAATACTTTTTAAGGGCTTGAAATTTTAAAAAACTCAAACTTTTTTACCCTTTGAGCATAATATACTTTATTTTAAGAAACATTTATAATACTTTGAAGCAGTAAACATGTCAGGCTGAGTAATGAAAATTAATCATTGACTTGATTCATTGCTGTCTTCATTTGTTTCGAAAACACAGATTTCTTACAATTTACAATATACAATTTGTATATTTTTTCTACTGGAGATACTGTTGTCTTAAAAAAAAACTAAAAAAAAAAAAGTAAATAAAAATCTCACTCATACCTTAGGAATGGTATAGCTAAAAATTTTGGTGGTCTGAAAGCCTTGACTTTTCCAAACTGCCGTATACCTTGAAAACGGTTATCGTCTCATGCCTAATAACAATATATATTTTGATATCAGTTGTTAATGCTTCTAGATTTAAAAGAGTACCCCAACAATGAATGAATCCACAAAAACTAGAGAGTCCACTAAATGACATAACATTTTCGGCCGATAAATTTTCGGTGGCCGAAAATGCGGTACATTTCCAATATCAACACACTTTTAGAATCTCATTGTTGCTCATTTCTGCTTATAGTATATAGTATTTCTAACTAACTCTGCTTTAAAATCCAGTAAGTTCAATATTCGCTCATTTAGATTATTTATTAATTAGTCAAATTTAGTTTTTATTTTTCACAATGTTACACCCTTCATTTCCAGCTTTTATTTTTATACAATCTTAAGCAAAGCTTGCTGGGAAGTAGATATGTGCTGCAACTTGGTTTAATACAATCCAAGTTTGAGTTCAGGGTCATGTTTTTATCATGTACATTAAACTTTCATTATTATTCGAGTAAAATTTAATCATTTATTTAATTTCACAGTTTGGTTTTCAGTGTTTAAAAACAACAGAAAGTCTATGGATTGGCCCCATTTATATAGGAAGGATGTGTGTGTGTGTGTGTGTGTGTGTGTGTGTGTGTGTGTGTGTGTGTGTGTGTGTGTGTGTGTGTGTGTGTGTGTGTGTGTGTGTGTGTGTGTGTGTGTGTGTGTGTGTGTGTGTGTTAGAGAGAAAGTGAGTGTAAAGAGGATCAGCTGTGAAGATACCACTGTGAGCCGTTACCCTATCCGACCTTTACCCGCCTCAACCTAAACCGACCCTGGCTGACCCTGCTTCACCTCAGTGACTGGACACCCTCAATCCTCTCTGCCGCTCTTTCAGACCAATTCTTCTTTCTTAAAAGCGCAGAGAGCTTTTAAACATCGGATAGTGTGCTAGATTGAGGTCGCGGTGGCTCTCAGACTGACCTCATGAGAGAGTCATTGATGAGGAAAGATTTGAAGATGTAGAGCTTTTGACAGATTTAAATTTATGCATCTAGAAGTGTTTGGCTGAAGTGACTTGTATTGTATTTTATCTGCTCATATATTATCAGGAAACAGTTTGCCCCAATACCTCATAGTCTAAATTGTGTTTCCTGTTTGAAAAATATTTAAATTAAATGGACAAATGAAAACAACTAAATTGTTTCATGCTGTATTTTAATGTTAAAGAGGAAAGACATCGATACGACTTTATTTTGATGGTCCCTGTTCCACATTTTGATGACTAAAGGTTGCATTGTAACTACATGATAATTAATCCTCTTTTGAGTATTAGTAGACTGTCTGTTTAATATCTGCTGATACTGCTTCTACAACAGACATTTAACTGACTATAAGAAACTTTTCAAGTATGTCAACTTACACTAACCCTAACCCCAACCTAACAGTCTACTTATCTAATGAGAATTAGTTGGCATGTAGATGCAATGCAACCTAAATGCAACAAAATGTGTTAAAGGGACCATCAAAATAAAGTGATATCAAGACATCTTCATGTTTAAACCTGAAACTAGTGTACTCGTTTAAATTGAAAACAAGTTTAAAATGACGTGTTTTTTTTTATTATTTATTTTAATGCTTGTTGTTTGTGAAGTGCTTTGTGGTGCATGTATGTTGGAAAAGTGCTATACAAACAAAATGTATTATTTATTATGATTATTATACTAAATTAACCACATAATGGCTTCCAATATTGATAAATGTTCTTTTATAATAACTTCCTAAAATTGTTTACATAAATTGGATAATGAGTTATAAAATATTAATTATTTATGCCAACTTCTATTTGTTTTTTATTTAGGCACCTATATTAACTTTGTCAGCATCTACACAATTACAATTTAGGGATGCTCATTTCGATTAATTTTGCCAACTTACAACGGTCGCTTATTAACGGAATAATAACTGTTAACTGGTCAGATTAATATTAAATTATTTATTATTTTTAAACTGACATGTCTATTTTGTGTGACACATTAAACATTGCGTTTTAAAATACCGATTAAAATAACATGTGAACATATTAACAACAGAACATCTTTATGCACCTGTAGTGTTTCCAACAGCACAGGAAAGCCCGTTCTCTGGAACGGGCTTCCGCCCCACATCAGACACGCTCCAACTCTACCTGTTTTTAAAAAGCGTTTGAAACACCATCTTTGTTCCTTAGTATTTGAGCCTTTTTAATGTTGAGGGATTTGCCTTATGTTTTAATTGTTATTTATGTGATGTAGATTTCATGTTTAGTATTGATTGTGTTCAGCACTTTGGGCAACGTTGTGTTGTAAAAAATGTGCTATATAAATAAACTAAACTAAACAGAAAAATAGAATAAACTAAATAAAAAGAATAAAATAAATAGTCCTGCCCTAGATATTTTTTACTTGTATGACAAATTTAGATTACAAAACGAAAACACTGTCTGAATCCTTTTTAAGAACCAGCGTTTTTTTTTTTTTTCCCATTATGTTTTTTCATCTTTCAAATAAAAATAGCAGGCTACCTCAAATCCATCGCTCCATGCAAAATAGGCCTATGCATTTAATTAATACCCCTCTCTAATTCTTATATCACAAGCCTCTGTCAACATTTTTAATAAAAGTCATTAAAGATTAAAGATTATATCTCGAACATCTCATTTTACATTAGAGTTTGTGTCCTTTTATTTCCTCTCGGGGTTCATGTGTACGCGCTGCGTGTCATGAAAGACAATGACAAGGCTCATATGGTGACTCTTTGTAAAGTATAGGCTACTATAGCATATAACAAATTTGTTATTTACATATGATATAGCATTCATTTTCATACATGTTATATAAGCTGTAAAATGAAAGCCTCGGTTTGGTGCGGCTAATCACACCGAACGCACTTTTCCATTCCAAAAACGCGAGGCGCACCACTCTGCCTTTTATATTGACAAAAAGTGCTTTTTTTTAATGTCGCTAGAAAACGACTGAATCAGCTGCAAAGTGTGCGAGTGTTGCTGTCGATGTTGTTATAATATTATGTAATATTTAATAATATTATATTGAAGATATCTTGAAACAGCGACAACTAGTCTCTCCTCCATCTTTTAAAGTTCTCTGTAGTCGCCTTGATTACACAAATATTTCTGTTGCCTCAATGGAAACCCGCCTCTGCTTTCATTTGATTGAAGAATGAAAAAGACGTGACTGACGGAACGCGCTTTTTCTGCTCAGGGTTCACTTTTATTTCAACTAAAAAAGTCACAGCACGCAACGGCAAAAATGCGATGCGCGCAGGGCATAAAAGCAGCGTGCAAAACACTCACGGCCATTAGTAAACCATTTAAAAGATATCCCTCTCAACACAAAAAGCATCTTCGCTGTGATCGGCCCCTTATGCAACCAAACTTCAAAAGTATATAAAATATTATGTTTTAATTATTTAACTAATATCATTAATCGGTTACAAACATACTCTTTTGATTAACATTTTTTATTTTTTTTTAGCATTTCTCTTAAAAATAAAATAATACTATATTAAAATAGTTTATTTACACTGTGAAAATGAATATCTACACTCAATATATAATAACAACAAATAATCGATAATAAAAATGTCTTTAGCTGCTTGTTCAAACTGCTTATTTAAAATAAGTTGAAACAACACACCTCTTGAGTTTTTTTGGGACAACATAATTGTTTTATGGTAATTCTACTTAAATTTGTAAAAACAAGTAAACTCACTTTATCGATTTGTGTTGCGACAAAATGAAGGAATCGTGTGGAACCCAGCATTTTGTACAGTGTATATTCCATGCTGAACGTTATAATATTGGGATGCCTGAATTCAAAGTTGAATAACTTTTTGGATTCATGTTTATTTAGGCAAAACTGATGTAAGGATTTTGAATATATGCAGTAGTTCCTCTCCAGACCTTTCTGTGTAAATGGAAGAGTACGGCCTTTATGTAGCCCAGGTGTATATTCATATCCATGTATAGTAAATCTATTGAATATGATTATAGTAGTGAAACACATTCACCATCTTGATTACATGCTTGCGTTCAATACTTGTCTGTCCTTGCGTCTGGATGTATCAACCAGAGTTTGACCTTCTCTTCCTCCTTTCTCCGTCTCTGCAGGGTTTGCGTTCCCAGACTGGGCCTATAAGCCCGAGTCGAGTCCAGGCTCCAGACAGATCCAGCTGTGGCACTTTATCCTGGAGCTGCTGAGGAAGGAGGAGTACCATGATGTGATTGCCTGGCAGGGAGACTATGGGGAGTTTGTGATCAAAGACCCTGATGAGGTGGCCAGGCTGTGGGGCGCACGCAAGTGCAAACCTCAGATGAACTACGACAAACTCAGTAGAGCTCTCAGGTAAGACTCTGACCGTCCATTAGTCCAGAACATTATTTCTGTTCATAGTCATTTTTCAAACATGTAAACTGTTTATAGTAAAGTTGTTTCAGGCATAAACCTCCTTGAGCATTCCAGCGTAAAAGGAACACTAAAGGATTTTTTTTTTTAATTTAGCTTAGCTTAGCTTAGCGTAGAAAATAGGCTCTTTTTACAACTCCCCTGAAGTTACACAGTTGACTTTTACAATTTTTTTTTTATTCATTTAGTCGATCTTTGAGACTGGCGGGAGAGCATTTAGCTTAGCTTAGCATAGATCATTCAATTGAATTAGGCCATTAGCATCTCGTCAAAATGAGATTATAGTTCTGGGCCATATTGTCCAAGAAAATAGCAACTTTTTTGTTGTTGTTATTGTTGTTGTTGTTGTTGGATTCAGAAGATTCAAGCTTTAAACAAGAAGCTTATCAAAATTCGTTTTTTTTTTTTTTTTTTTGAGTGAGATGCTAATGGTCTAATTTGTTTCAATGATTTATGCTGAGGTGAAAATTGTTCCCGCCAGACCTGGAGATCAGCTGAATGGATTCATAAATGGTCAAACTCAACTGTTCAACTCTAGAAGAAGTTGTAAAATGAGATTAGACCATTAGGAAATGTGAAGTGTTCCTTCTAAGTACCTTGGATATAAAATTTGAACTCTTGACCTTACAGTTACCAGGTCAGACCTTTAAGTACTAAGAGGTCATTGTGTTTAAAATTCATCAGCTCTCAGTAATTGAAGGAGGGGGGAGGGGGACTAGACTTTGGAGAAACTAGGCTCAGTTGGGGTGCCTAGCTCTCCTCTGGCTTAAATAAATATACATTGATTATTGATCAGAGCACATCACACCAGCATTAGGTAAGAATGAGTTTGTCACTGACCCCTTAAGCGTAATGAACTTCTATCTTGTGGAAACTGCATTTTATCCAGGCAGCTCAGTGAAATGGAATAAATCGAAAGGTTTGAGGCATGTTTTTTTTAAAAGCTGCACTTATTTTAACCTGAGAACCGCATTGTTGTGGAACACAAAGAACAAACTACTGAAGATGGCAAAATCAATGAATAGGCACGTAACTTTCACAACAGAGTTTCAAAGTTCCTAGATCTATTGGCAAATGTACCCGCTTTTAGTGTGTTCATATCACAGGAACTGGGAATGATTTTATCTCCTGGAACTTGATTTGGGCAAACTAACTTGGCTTCTGCTTCAGAGCAGTGTCTAATCCAGAACAATAGTACCATCACTACCAGTGGTGAAATGTACACCAATTAATGCCATAATCTACACACACAGAAAAAAAAATGCCATACTAAAACACAAGCATGTTATTTTTAGGTGTTATAACTCATACACATAAACACATCTCAAGTGTTGTTACTTCCTCCGCTTCGTTGACTACGTTTGCATGGACATCAGTAATCAAATTAGTTGCCTTAATCTGGATAAGACAATAAATATGATTAAGATGTTTGCAGGAGTTGCTTTTTGAATGATCCGTTCAGGATTCCATTTTACAAGTTATAGCACATTATTTGATTAATGTCATTGCGTCACCACGCTATCTAACGTTTTCCCCAGAGTTTCATGTATTTTTGGGTGTTTGATTTAAAATTTTTCGGCTTTCACTGCAGTTTGGCGGTTTCACTTTCATTCATGCCCAACTTTCATCCATGACAGACTGAGGTATTGGATGCGAGTATGATTTAATTACTGGTGGAAGAGTGTTGTTTTAATGGAATTTGATACCACACGCCAAATGGAAAAGAAAAACATCTGCATTTCGTGTGTCTGTGTTTCTTTAATGGCTCGGTAGGTGCAGAGAAAAGTGTCAAACAGCCGTGTGTGTGTATCAAATATGCTGTCGCAAAATGTGGTGAAAATCCTACATGACGGTAATAGTTTAACCTCTTAAGGGCCAAGATGTTTTGTTACATGCATTTTTTTATTTCTCTTTGCTATTTCGGCTGATTGGAACCTAATTAGAATAAAACCTAAGTATCATCTTTTGATATGATGTACTTTGAGAGTAAAATGATGTCCATATATGTGGATTCATGGTCTGAATTTACATAAAACATATTTTCCTGATGGTTTTTTTAATGCATATATAACAGAATTTTTTTGAACATCTTTTGAATATAAGAGAGTAAAAACAACATTTTCCCTCCATTTTGGACAGTTAAAAATAGTGTTTGGGACATGTCATATGCTGCAAAACAGTTGCAGGATGACACTGTTTGTCTGTACCAAAATATAAAACATTTACCACATTAAGTGGTATTTTAAATAGCCACTTAAGAGCTAAATATTGGCTCGTTTCCACTGACTGGTACAGTACGGTATGGTTTGGGTCAGTACGGGTCACCTTTATCAGGCTTGCGTTTCCACTATCAAGGGTACCCTTTTGGTGGGCGTGGTGTATGACAAAGTTTCAGTCGACGTAATTTTTCGCTCGAGAAAATGTCTTCAATAAAGCTGCACAGGTCGTTCACGTATCATATGAAAAGCACTTCTCACAAAACAAATCCTTTACACACATAAATACTTGTGTATAAATGTTTTTTACTAACTTTTCTATAAACAGGAGATGATTATAACTGCAGATCAATGACGGTGCAAAATAGCCTACTGTAACGTCTATAATTATATTAAATAAATAAATAAATAAATGAACATATATGAACACATACAGACCCTTACAGTCTCCGATATGTTACCAACTACAGAAGAACTACACAAAGCAGACATTTCGTCATTAATTAGGTTCAAAACAACACAAAGTATAACCTACAGTCAGTGAAAACCTCTCATCTGTGTCTGTAATCTTCAGCAGCACATGAAGCCTCTGTTAGAGAGTAATTCCATCATTCCCGGTTCATATTAGTCCAAAAGGTGATGATAAAAATTAAAACAAGGCAGTTAGAAATAACATGATCCTTGGCTATCCCTTTTTTCAGCACTCCACTCTCGCGTTTGTCCTTTTCTTTCTGAATGTGTCTTTCTCGCGTTTGTCAGGATCAGGTTTCCAAAGCTTATCAATAATCAAGTGCATGTTATTATTATCAGATCAAGAAGTTTGTTATTTTAGATAGAGACGCGCGGCGAGCACAAGAAAGAAAGCGAAACCACTCGGGCTTCAGACTGGCTCGTTAAAAACTACGCGGCACAGGGTGAATCTGCTCTTCTCCATGGCTTTGTGGCTGTTTATCATGACGACGACAGGGTTTGTTTGCAGGATCGACCATGGCTGCATATGTATTTATAATTCCGCTGTAATCTCTCGCTGTGTATTTCAAACATGGCGGGTCCTTTGTTTACATTCTGGCTTGTTGAGTCTACGAATGACGTATCTCTGTAAACCAATAGCGTTCAGCTGCGCGTGTAGCTCCACCTTTTGGGACCCTTTCTGCAGTTTGGGACCCTTTCGAAAGGGTCCCGAAAAAGTGGTACGTTACGGTTTGGTACGCCTTTTGACAGTGGAAACGGCCATAAAAGCGTACCAAACCAAACCGTACCGTACCACTCAGTGGAAACGGGCCATATGCTGTCCACGTATGTGGCCACTAAGAACTAGGAAGTTAATTAAGATGTTTACATGTCTGTACTGCACTTTAATAATGCCACTAAGATTGGCATTCTCCACATGTCTTAATTCAAGTTCTGTTTGGTTTGATTATGACTTTAGTCGGATTAAGGTAATCAGAAATCTCTGTTTACATGGTAGACTCTTAATCAGAGTATTATCATAATCATATTAAAACTGGATTATTGGTGTCTATGTAAACGAATCCAATGAAATATAGCACAATATGTGATCTTTATTCACTTTTCTTAATGAAGTTTCATTTAGATATCTCATTCACCCAAGTTCCATCACCATTACCACAAAACACAAACCATAGAATGAAAACGTTGCTTCAGTCACTGCTTCCTCCAGTTGTTGATTTGCCTTGACGCCACTGTTGTCCTGGCAGCATACATCTCTTCGGAATTCCTAAAGATGGTACAAATGCAATCAGAAAAAAATGACCCGGAGTGAAATTAGTTTCCGGGGAAATGGACATGATGGCTTGTTCCTGGAACTGCTCATTACAAAAGTGAGGGGGTTGAAAATGTATGCAACTCTAGTTTTTAATGGGTACAAAACATTTGAAGCACTTTTAGGTTTGAAAACTCTACATGGAGACACTATAAAAGGATGACTCTTTAGGGCCCATGTGTCGATCGAATAGTTTTTTAGTCTTGTTATAAAACCTTTTCACATTTCTGGGTTTCTCAGAAGCAGAAGTTGACATAGTTGGGTAGATTTGTTTCTAATTTGCTCAAATAACAAAAGAAAATCTTCACAATAGTGTTATTACAACTTTTAGAAAAAGAAAAAAACTTGATAACGACAGCCAGAAGAGAAAACCATGTCAAATCTACTGTCCTGCCCATGCATTAGAAACACCTCACATACAGTTGAAGTCAGAATTATTAGCCCATCTGTATTATTAGCCCCTCTGTTTATTTTCCCCCAATCTCTGTTAGATTTCTTCAACACATTTCTAATCATAACAGTTTTAATAACTCATCTCTAATAACTGATTTATTTTATCTTTGCCCTGATGACAGTAAATAATATTTGATTAGATATTTTTCAAGACACTTCTATACAGCTTAAAGTGTCATTTAAGGGCTTAACTTGGTAAATTAGGTTAACTAGGGAGGTTAGGGTAATTAGGCAAGTATCAAAAATATATAGCTTAAAGGGGCTAATAATTTTGACCTTAAAATGTATTTAAAAAAATTAAACTGCTTTTATTCTAGCCAAAATAAAACAAATAAAACTTTCTCCAGAAGAAAAAATATTATCAGACATGCTGTGAACTTTTCCCTGCTCTGTTAAACATCATTTGGGAAATACTTAAAAAAGAAAATAATGCTATAGGGGGCCAATAACTCTGACTTCAACTGTAAGCGTTACCTTTTTTTGTAATT